AGGACCACAAATTCAGCCACTTTATAAATAATAAAACTTGGGCCCAGCACAGTTGCCTAGTGGTCAAATCCTAGCCTCGCTTGCATTAGGATTTCATATGGGCACCAATTCATATCCCAGCTGCTCCACTTTCCATTCAGCTCCCTGCTTGTAGCCTGGGAAAGCAGTTGAGGACGGCCCAAAGTCTTGAGACCCTGCACCCAGGCGGGAGACCCAGAAGAAGCTCTTGGCTCCTGACTTCAGATCAGTTCAGCTCCAGCTGTTGCAGCTACTTGGGGAATGAACCAGTGGATGGAAGATTTTTCTCTCTGTCTCTCCACTCTGTAAATCTGACTTCCCAATAAAAATAAATAAATCTTTAAAATAAGATAATAATGGAATTTGACCTTGGCGGCTGGGGGGTGACAGCAGTCCTCCTCAGCAGTGGCAACTTTCTTGTGGAGAGTACCCAAGCCAAGTCGGACCCAACGCCCAGGACTCGACCCCTGGGCACCGTCGCCACACACGGTGAGAGTCCTAGGCTTTAGGCAGCCAGTGCTCATATTTGGCGACAGGTTCTGCCTGCTGGCTGCTCAGCAGCGAGTTCTAGGTTCTTCACGGTATGTAGTTGTTGCCGAGGGACATCCATGGATAGGGCCAACGTGAGTGTAGGTGAGGGATTAACCCTGAGTGACTTCCAGTGACAGGGTCACAGAACTTGCTGGCAAGCATGGGGACTGAGACTTGATTGCTAGGAGCAGAGAGTCCATAAGATGTATTTGGGCCAGACTGATTTACCAGTCCACATGGAAGTCCTGAGATGGGCTGTTAGCATAGAGCATCACTGACTGGCACACACGAGTCTACACGAAAGCTATGGCTGGGGGTCTGTCTAGCAGGGCTAGGTACCAGTACCTGACTGAGTGGTGGAACAGGGAAAGGGTCACACTTGGCAAGGTCAAAACACTAACTAGCACATGAGAGAACCAGGTCCAGGTATATATACTGTGGGGGAAGTGTGGACCCAACCCTGTGGAAACACAAGTCCCACTGGTTAGCTCAAGAATTGAGGTGTTAACAGGCTGAACTAGGTGTGACCAAGGAACCGGCCATCACTCACAGGTGAAGGAACTGACAACAGCCTGGGCAGGTCAAGGCAGCACCACTAAAATGTGCATCCTAGAACAGGATGTGGGGTGGGCCGAGCTGCAACTGGAAGGGAGCAGATAGGGCAGGGCTGAGCAAACCTTAACTCACAAGGAAGAACAGAAATCAGGATGGAGCACAATTCACGCCAAGCTAGGTCTTACACCGACTGGTCTGCATGAGCCAGGGATACTAGGACACAGCATTGAAGGCAAAGGCTGAGACAAGTGAGACTAAAAGGCTAAGCCAACTGGGTCACAGCAACCACTGGCACGTGTGCAATCTAGGGCTGGGAATAGATCCAGCTGGGGAACTATGAGAGAGGACACCCTTGCTGGGTTGGGGTTCCCACTGGTGAGTGCAGGGACCCGGGTGGGGCTGCGTTCTGGTCTGGATATGGTTGCAGTATCCCTTGGCACAAGTGTGAACTGGGACTGTCCACACCTAGCCGGGCTAGACTCCAGCACCATCTGGTGCTCTGGAGAACCAAGGCAGATGTAGGACAGACTAGGTTAGATCTCTGCCCCTATTGGGTGAACATGGTCTGAGTATGGACAAGCCTTGGCTGGGCTGAAACATCCAATAGTAAGAACCAGAATGGGTTGAAGGCCAGTCAGGAAAGGCCACTGTTACTGTCAGGACAAGAGGTGGACTAAGTAGGGCTGGCTCATGGACCCACCGGTAAGCATAAGAACTGCCATAGGGAGAGATTATGATGGAAGAGCTTGGGAAACTCCTCTGTCAGGACACAGTTCCTGCAGGTGACCACAAGAACCACGACAGGGAGCAACCCAGAGAACAAAACCCACCGGCAAATATTTGGCATAGGTTGGGAGCAGACCAGGCTGAACCAGTCCACATCACCCGCTGCTGAATCTGAGCACCAGAACAGAGTGAGGGTCAGACCAGTTTCAGTCACAGCACATACCATTGCACATTATGGCTGGGATTGGGTGCCTGCTGGGCTGGGCTGGGCTGGCTAGGCTATAACCCTAACCAGCATCAGCTGGAATTGGGGGTGGGCCAAGCCAGGCCGGGCCAGATTACAACACCCACTGGCAAATGCCAAGGTGAGGTGGACCATACCAGACTTGGCCGCAATGCCCAACCAGTACACATGAGAACCAGGGAGGGAGGGGGCAAAGCCGGTAGGGGGAATGTGAGAGGTCCCCTGCTGTACAGCCATTCCCACTGGAGAGCGTGAGTTGGGATGGGGGCAGACCAGACTGGATAGGGCTACAACAACTGTGGGCCTCATATGAGCGACATCAGGGAAAAGCCAGGCTGGGCTGACTGTTCCTATTGGTGTAAGCATAAATTAGAGTGGGTGAGGATTGGTTGGGCTTTGCCACAGCATCAGCTGGCAGGGTCTGGCACTGGGCACTAATTCTGTCAAGTTAAACCCCAGAACCACCTGGAGAGTGCATTATCCAGGAGTGGGAGTAGCCTAGTAGAGAAATAGTGGGCACCTCCCTGTTGGGTTACCACTCCCACTGCAGAACACAAAAACCAGGACTGGGACAAGGGTGGCTAGACAGAAAGGCACCTGCCAGTATGTGTGTGGGCTGGATAGTAGGTTGGTTGGGTTGAACTAGGCTTCAATGCCCATTGACAAGTACAAGAGCTAAATGGGATGTGGGACAGACTGAACAAGTCTGCAGTACATACTGGCATGCATGGGAACCAGGACAGGAGGCAGTCCTGGTGGGGGTTATAGGGAGTCGCCCCAACTAGGCTGCAGCTCCCACTGGAGTGCATGAGGGCCAAGTGTGAAGAGGGCAGGATCAGGATGGATTGCAACAGCCACTGGTTCATGTGGAAGACAGGTCTGGAAACAGAATTGACCCAGCAATTGCAACCACCAGCGACGGACTGTGCTGGACCCAGTACTGGCAAGCACACATACGAATCAGGTCTGGGATAGCCTCAGACAAAGTTTCTTTGGGAATCCCTCCAACTGAACTGCTGATCTTGGAACGCCAACCATGAAGAGACAATGTCAACCAGTGGATTCTGAAGAGATTTCATCGTGCTTGGAACAGCAAGATTGGCAGCAATTTAGAACTGATGAACTATCAAAACTGCATGAGCAGGACCCTTGGAACATGCCCCACATTGGGGACCTGGGATGGGTAGGAGGCTGAGTGGGGCTTTTCCCCTTAACTCTCCCCTTTCTCCGAATACAGAAAAAAAATAATAATAATATTAATGTGGAAACAATGGTCTTATTCACTTTCCTGTAGTCCTTGACCCTTTGTGCCCTAATCAACTATGTAAAGATTATTAAAATAAAATAATTTTTTAAAAAGATAATAATAATAAAAGTTGGGGCTGCCATTTGGCCAAGGAGTTAAAACGGTGCTTGGAATACTAACAGCCCACGGTACCTGGGTTCAAGTCCCAGCTCTGCTCTCAATTCCAACTTCACATCACTACACTCTCTAGGAGGCACAACAGGTGATGGCAGCTCAAGTGCTTGCATCTCTGTCACCCACCTGGGGGATCTGGCTCAGGTTCCCAGCTCCTGGCTGTGGCAGGCTCAGCCCTAGACCTTGGGCTTCTGGGAAGTAAACCAGCAGACAGGGGCATGCATTTGTTCTCCACGGCCCACTTTCAAAATTTAGCAAAAAGTAAAATTTGTGTGCATTAAGTAATCAAAAATTGTGAAAACATTCACACCTAGGTAAAAAATAGTTGAAAAGCATATAACGAGTGAAGCGTCTGTACTCAGAACACATACAAAGAATCTCTGCAGCCAACAAGGAAAAGATAAAGAGCCTAACATGAAAGCAAAAGATAAAAACAAGTACTTCTTTGGAAAGAATATCCAAGTGGCTAGTAAACAAAGCTGTAGCCAAGCACCATCACTTTTACACTACCCCTTTTTAGTATTTGTGTAATAAATGAAATGGGTAAGAGCCGGGGCTGGCTGTGGGCATGGCAGGTTGCCTGGAAGGTCTCTCCATCCAGGCCAGCGCACCCACCTAACTGTTTGAGAACCAGGACTGGGAACAATCCGGATCAGGTGGCTGCACGTGAACGGGGCTCAAGGCGGGCCAGGAAGCAGAGCCTGGCCAAGAACAGGCTTCTTGAGTCCCATAAGCGCTTTAGACCAACAGGATCCCCCATCTCAGAGAACATTCCACAGAGGTGTTGTCAGACTGAGGCACTGCTGATTGCCATGCAAGGATGAAGAGCATACCCAATCGCACAAGAAGGCAGCCTGCTCCTCTAATCCGACACAACACCTCAAGTGCCGCTTCAAAGGGTGGAAAGAGAACTCCAACATCATTTCTGGCTAATCTCTAGAGTAAGCACCAAAGTCCTCAAACTCAAAAAATAGTCAATGGGAATCATATACAGTGTTCCCTCTTGGTCTCACCAGCATATTTAGGACGTTGTCTAGGTTTTCTGAAAAGCAGCACATTTTTAAAGGACACTCAAACAGAACATGTAGAAACGATACCCATCTCTTTCTGTAAATCAAGAATTCTAACTCAGCACATGCAGAGACAGGGATCATTTCCATCTCCTAACATTCTAACTGCACCACTGCGTATTCCATTTTTAAGTCTAAACTTCTAGGCGATTCTAACTACGCTAATATATTCAGAGGTGCCAGATGGCATAATCATTCCAAACTCTTTTCAAAGTAACAACTACAACATTCCTAAAGTTATCTCAGCTCTTTTCCATGGTCTTTTTTTGTGTGCCCTATCTGCAAACACAGCTTCCAGTGCCATTGTATTTTATTTGTGCTTTGGTTAAAACACAAACATTAACAATGAACTAAAGTTATTACTTCAGTTTGTTTTACTTATTTTAGCAAATGCTTGGGGATCAAACAGCTTGAAGATTAAGTGAAAAAACAGTACCTCACAATGCTGGCGAGAAGCTTGAATTTCACATTCATATTTGTTCTTTACTGATTCTAAGCAGAGCTCTCTATAGATTCCTGCAACCAAACACAGTGATTCCAATTAAGGGAGCAATAAGGCGCTGCCAAACCATTTCCCTGAAGGAACTGTGTCCTCACCATGTGGGATGACTCAAGAAGAAATTCTAATTCCACCTCCACAAATTAACAACAAAAAAGGTGCACTTAAAATACATTTCAAAGAAAAATAGAAGTTTAAAAACTATAAAGAAACATTATTAATTTTTACTTGCTCTTTATTCTTGTTACCAAAAACAATTCCAAATGTTTGAAAGGCAACGATGCAGTGAAAGTAAAATTCTTTTCCTGTGAAAAACAATCTCTCAGATTTCCCATCATAGATATAGACAATAAACTCGGGTTTCATTAACCATCTACGCCCAGGTGACAGCTAGATACTACATTTCACTAAAACCATTATTTTCAAATGATTTTTTTTATTTTCAGAGTCCAAAGCTGCCAACAGAAGTAAATGCACCAAGGTATCTGGGATAATCTGCACAGAGCTTTACCTTCAGCAACAGCACTGAACTTCAACATAACAAGATAATAGTATAAACCCGGCAGCCTAGCAAGGCACCATGCCACCACAAAGTGGCAAGAAGAGTCCTAGAGGTGTATACTAAACTCTATGCCATAATCGGCCTAGAAATTTAATGATCTCTTTGCACAGGAAAACTGGTGGAGACATCCAGAACTACGCCTTTGCAATGCATTCATACACTATTCTCTGCAAAATCAAAAAGTGAGAGGTCTAATTTTGAAAAAAAAAAAATCATTGATTTGGGTGATAGTTCCTATCATTCATTTAATCTAAAAGAACATTAGAGTAAATTAGGCACACTCTTAAGAGTGTAAGTTTGCATGCAAAGACAGCAGGTTAGGTACCAGAAAGAACTTGTCAGCAATGCTTAGGTGTTACTTACCAAAACCGTAAGAATCAAAGAAAAAAAAAAAATCAGCATTTCCACCAATTAAAGTTCAGATTTTAGTTTAATCACAGAAAACCTTCAGTCTTCTTCACATAGATATATGATTAAGAATGCCTGGACAGGGAGGCTAGATCCCAGTTAATAAACAGAAAACTGAAGTTTATCCATACAAATATATTATATCTTCATTTATGCAGTCATAAATGAATAATCAAATATAGAAATAAATAAGTACCAAATTAATTTTCCAGCTGAGGGTTAATACTGTGTACTGTAATTTCCTGACCAAACATTTTAAGGTTTCCATTGCTTTTTGAAAAACATCTTACTACTCTTACAAAGAAAAATGCCAATAGTACTTAAACCTTAACTTACTAATAGGGAATTTAACTAGGACAGGACATAAATACTGTAAACTTTAGGGTCGTTATTCTGTTAATCCTGCACAGAAGCAAAGAAGAGCAAAAGGCAATAAATGCGGAATGACGGTGGAATTGCAGCATCTGTGTGAACAGACTCCTGTAATTCCATCCGTTACAAGCACTGACTGGACAAACACCTTTTAAAGCTACTCAAGAGTTTACATTCTACCGTATGGAAAAGATGTTTCACTTTCCTACCTGCCACCTTTGTACGAATTTGCATATTTTCTTGTAGAGTTGCCAGTGGTTCCAAATACTCTGGTGCTTTCCCAGCTATGACTTCTTGTAGTTTTGCATCCACCTGACTTAATCGCTCTTTATAAAGTCTTAACAAAGCAAAAATGAATGTTAATTTAAAAATTCCAACAAAGGCCAACAATATGCCATTTTCATGTTATTTATTCCTCATATCATAATAGTCTAGTAACCTACCAAATGTATTTTTGCTTTGATCTTATGTAAAATCACAAAATAGATATCCACACCCTTTTTATCAGTATCTCTCATAAATGGTTTATTCGTAATACCAAATACACAGCTGAAATAACTACTTTATGGCACTCTCAATTTTTGTTTTTTGTTTTTTAACTGTAGAACAATGAATCAATTTTAAAAGAAAAGGTCATTTAAACATTGAGGTTAAAAGGAAACCATTTGTAATTGTTTAGATATGGACTTCTTAGTTGTCAAAACAACTGATTCTGTGACTTTTTTCTATTCTTCTTATAAAGGCATTCGTATGACAAAATTCAGCCTACTGAACGTTTTGAAGAACAAAGAGGAAGCTGAATGCTTACAGTAAAGCCAACAGCTCCAGAAGCTGCGGCCCGGCTAAGCCAGTTCATTGTGACTGCAAATGAAGAGGCAGTGACCAAATGAGCTCATCAATGGAGAAGGAAACGAAAAACTGGGAGTTACTCTATCACCCCCACTTATAAGTCCACTGATAAGTCCTTTCTGCCAATAGAGTACCATGGTTTCACTACAAAAGACAGAATTAATCAGACAACCCTGTGTTTATTTTTGACCATCACCTTGCAGAACTATCTCTTTCTAATATGAAGACAATTACATTGAATATTTATGAAAAGATATTTCTAATCCTGGTTCTTTCTGGCATTTTGAGAACGTCCTAAGAAGTTCAAACCAAATTAACAATTTTAAACAATCCTATAAATTGTCAGAAGTGATTTGGAGTAGCTCCCCAAGCAACCACTGCTTATGCTTGCAGAGGTTAGTGTAACTAGCATCAGGCTTCCAAAAACATTACAGCAACTACCTTTCATACTAAATGTTGCTCTTCTCTCTTGCAAATACCCACTAACGCAATTAAGAAAGTCAATACAAATAAATGATTACTGTAATTAGCATACGAGATTTGATGATTTAGGGGGCAAAGCAGGTTTAAGCATTAATGCGATAAATATTTTTATTGTAGGAAAAAGGGGTAAAATTATCTGAATTAACTGCCAAAGAAATACAATATCTAGACTGAGTTAGATATTTTTTTAATTCAAGATAAAATTTATAAACAAATACATGAAGTCAGAAAAGTACATTACTTATTCACTGTATGATCACTTTAAGAAAAAAATACCAGACAACATACCGGAGAACAATGTCTGAAAAACATCAAATATTTACAAAGATACTGAAAAGTTATCCTGAATTTATAAATTAGTATCTTGAATGAAAATGAGGTACGAATTAAGTTTTCAATAATTAACCTTTTAAAAGAATAGATTCTTCAAATTCAATTTAATTTTTATAATCCTGCAATTCCAGTACAAATTCAAAGACAAGGATCACGAGTGTCCCACAGCAATCACCATGCTATTCATACTGTAGCTGCTCAATTAACGAGTGGTGCATGCTGAATATTCAAACGAATGGAAATCTGAACAGTAGAATCCCTCCACCTTTGGAAGGGGGTGGAAGAACTCACCTTCCACCACTAGAAACTGCAGCTGGTGGCTTTTCTGTCTTATGAAGGGAGTGCTACTGTGCCCTGTGGTGCTAAACAAGGAGAACCAGGACAACTGTTACTACTATTTCGGTCTAACCTCTTCTAAAGAGGGTTTGAGACAGTTTCCCAGAGATGCAGAGTACAACAGAAAATAACAACGCAGCGAGTGGAAAAGAGGGAGAATTTAAACCCAGTACAAAGATTCATATTTTAAACCTATATCTAGAAGTCAATTCCTTGAGAAAGTGCCTTACTAAATAACAGTCACGAATCCACCTTGCGTACTTGTAGATGGAGGAAGTCGGTGGGGAGAGCTGGCTGACCGTGGCAGTGAGCCAGGACAACAAACAATAAAGGTAGTGGAGCAGCCTGGCACAAATGGGCTGAGGCCCAAAGACCAGCCAGTTACAGCACCCCCACACCATAAAGTCAAGTAAGTAAATCTTAATTAACTGTATCTTCGTATTTATTAAGTGTATTTATTCACACCTGACGTGCTAAAACACAAAACTTTACATATGCCATCTCTCTTTCAAAATGATCCTAAATGAACTGTGCATACTGTGCAAACAATGGGTCCCGTGGGGGGACTACACTAATTTTAATTTGAAATTCTAAATCTCTTTTTTTTTAAGATTTATTTTATTTTTACTGGAAAGGCAGGTATACAGAGAAGAGAGACAGAGAGGAAGATCTTCCGTCCAATGCTTCACTCCCCAAGTGAGTGCAACGGTCGATGCTATGCCGATCCAAAGCCAGGAGCCTCTTCTGGGTCTCCCATGCGGGTGCAGGGTCCCAAAACTTTGGGCCGTCCTCAACTGCTTTTCAGGCCACAGGCAGGGAGCCGGATGGGAAGCAGGGCTGCCGGGATTAGAACCGGCACCCATATGGGATCCCAGGTGTGCAAGGCGAGGACCTTAACCACTTGCGCCACTGCGCCTGGCCCAAAATTCTAAAGCTTTAGAATAAGAAAACTATACCATGTTTTCCAAAGGTAAAATTTAAAACTTTGGATTATTTTTCATTGCTTATATGTAGGTACTTCAAAGGGTTCACGGAAACGTGGACTTAAAAGCCCATTTCTGGGCCCAGCGCAGTAGCCTAGCAGCTAAAAACCTAGCCTTACATGCACTGGGATCCCATATGGATGCCCAGCGGCCCTGCTTCCTTTTTTTTTTTTTTTTAAAGATTTATTTTTATTATTTTTTCATTGGAAAGGCGGATATACAGAGAGGAGAGACAGAGAGGAAGGTCTTCCGTCCGATGATTCACTCCCCAAGTGAGCGCAACGGGCCGATACTATGCCGATCCGAAGCCAGGAGCCTCTTCCGGGTCTCCCACGCGGGTGCAGGTTCCCAAAGCTTTGGGCCGTCCTCGACTGCTTTCCCAGGCCACAGGCAGGGAGCTGGAAGGGAAGCGGGGCTGCCGGGATTAGAACCGGCGCCCATATGGGATCCCGGGCGTGCAAGGCGAGGACCTTTAACCACTTGCGCCACCGCGCCGGGCCCAGCGGCCCTGCTTCCTATCCAGCTCCCTGCTTGTGGCCTGGGAAAACTGTCGATGAAGGCCCAAAGTCTTGGGACCCTGCACCTAAGTGGGAGACTTGGAGGTGGCTCCAGGCTTCTGGCTTCAGACTGGTACAGTTCCAGCCATTGTTGTCACTTGGGGAGTGAACCATCAGACGGAAGATCTTCCTCTCTGTCTCTCCTCACTGAATTTCTGACTTTGCAATAAGAATAAAAAATAAAGCTTTAAAAAAAAGTTCATTGGGCCCGGCGCGGTGGCGCAAGTGGTTAAAAGGTCCTCGCCTTGCACGCCCAGGATCCCATATGGGCGCCGGTTCTAATCCCGGCAGCCCTGCTTCCCTTCCAGCTCCCTGCCTGTGGCCCGGGAAAGCAGTCGAGGACGGCCCAAAGCTTTGGGAACCTGCACCCGCGTGGGATGCCCAGAAGAGGCTCCTGGCTTCGGATCGGCATAGTATCGGCCCGTTGCGCTCACTTGGGGAGTGAACCATCGGACGGAAGATCTTCCTCTCTGTCTCTCCTCTCTGTATATCCGCCTTTCCAATGAAAAAATAATAAAAAAATAAATCTTTTAAAAAAAAAAAAAGTTCATTTATGAGAAAAATAATTGATATTCACGCAGTTTTTTCATATTATAAATTCAGAATTCATATTATGAAATCCCATAAACTCTTCCCAACCCATAAATTTAAAAAAAAATATTTTCACTGAAAGAAATTTATCTTTTTAATTCCATTTTCCTTTATTTACTTTATTTACTTTTTTTTTTTTTGAGAGGCAGAGAGAAAAGCAGGCCGGCCAACTGACGGATGGAGAACTCCCATCTCCCACTCCTTTGCCACATGTCTGCAATGGCCCCAAACCAGGCCGCAGCTGAGAACTCCACCCCCACCTCCCCCATAGGGCAGCAGGGATCCGCGGGCACGAGCCATCACCTCTGCCTCCGAGGGCGAGCACTAGCAAAAAGCTGGCATTCAGAACGCAGCCAGTACTCAATAAGGGACAGTCCAAACCAACTGCAAAACGAAACTCCCACTCCTCCGTGAAGCTCTGAAGTGCCCTTGCTAATCTGAGCTAGCATGACACATATTTGGACGTTAACATAGAATATCAATAAAAGTTAACGCCAGAGTCATGTGGTGGGAATTCCAAATACAAAGCATTACCTTGGTCTGCCTAGGGTTATAGAACAATAAACAGCAAAATGATTAGCCATGTATACAGTTGTTACAAGCCTGCCTTGTGTAAGATGTCTATAACTCCAGAAGCTTCTCTTTGGTCTATGCTCCATGATCATGCCATTAAGTCCCAAAGTGAAAACGCTCCTGTAAGATGTTGCTTGGCAGTTAAATTTATCTACATTATCTCGTGTCATTGGAATTCATACTCGCATTGCCATCTCCCATTAGATTGCCGGCATTTTAGGAGAGGAGACAAAACCAGTATCCAATGGGCACTTAGCTAACGCCAGACGAATAGGTAAGTATTATGTAGACTGTCCATTAGGCCTCATGTTAGATGCTAAGGAAGCTATTATTATTATTTCTAATACTCAGTCAAGAAAGCCTGGACTCTTTCTATTCCAACACATTTCCTCCAGAGTAATGAGCCTTCGTGGAAGCAACACAATAGCTTTAGGAGGCAAGAAGTTTGGCTTACAGGTCACTTCTGATCAACTATGGGCAAATCCATTAACCTCCCTAGGGATCAATTTTCTCACAGGTAAAACGAAGATAAAATTATCTTCCAACCTGGCAGAATTGCTGTAATAATCAAAATAAATAATATACAAAAAAAATATGTATGGGCCCGGCGCAGTGGCGCAAGTGGTTAAGTCCTCGCCTTGCACGCCCGGGATCCTATATGGGCGCCGGTTCTAATCCCGGCAGCCCCGCTTCCCTTCCAGCTCCCTGCCTGTGGCCCGGGAAAGCAGTCGAGGACGGCCCAAAGCTTTGGGACCCTGCACCCGTGTGGGAGACCCGGAAGAGGCTCCTGGCTTTGGATCGGCATAGTATCGGCCGTTGAGCTCACTTGGGGAGTGAAGCATCGGATGGAAGATCTTCCTCTCTGTATCTCCTCTCTGTATATCCGCCTTTCCAATAAAAAATAATAAAAATAAATCTTTAAAAAAAAAAAAATATGTAGGATCTGGGTGGTAGTCAACTGGCTAGAATACTCGCCTTGCACATGCCAGGATATCATATGGACACCAGTTAACATCCCGGCAGCTCCACTTCCCATCCAGCTCCCTGCCTGTGGCCTGGGAAAAAAGTTGAGGACGGCCCAAAGCCTTGGGACCCTGCACCCAATGTGGGAGACTCAGAAGAAGCTCCTGGTTCCTGGCTTCAGATCAGCTCAATTCTGGCCATTGCAGTCACTTGGGGAGTGAACCAGGAAATGGAAGATGTTTCTCTCTGCATCTCCTTCTCTCTGTGAATCTGCCTTTCCAATAAGAATAAATAATTCTAAAAATAATAAAAATCATGGAATTATTTTTTAAAAAACACACGTCATGCCATACTATCAGGTATATAACAAACAAAATTACTCTGCCAGAATCTCTGGGAAACAGTCTCTTATTTGCAAATTTCAAAAATACATCTTTGTCAAATTATTTAAGAAAAGAATAAAGTATATAACAAGAAAGGATGCAGTAATCCGAGGAAAGCATTTTAGTTTATGAATTCTTTTTGCGTCTTGCCCTCTCAGCGAGCCCATCTCCAAATCCTGAGTTTAGGCATGAAGTCTTCAGCACACAGTACGAGCTGAAGCCTCTTGTGTCGGGCAGCCCCACACCACGCAGAGGGGACATGGGAGCCTGACTGTGACCGCCCTGACGCCACTGCTCATGGGACAGTCACTACTTACTGATCTTTGAGATCGGTAAATTGTTTTTCAAGATTGGACATTTCATCTAAACATTCCATTCTTCTTCTTTCACAGTCTTCATCGTCCATTTCTATGAATAAAAAGAGAAATATCCAGGATAAAATTAATTTTTAAGTTTCAAATACATCTGAATGTGCATTCAAATGGAGAAAAATCTAGCACCAAGGCCTAGCCTAAGTCTTCCAAGGATAAATATTTCACCAAAACAATTTCCACTATAGAATTAATCTGAAACGCAGATAAAACTATAGCTATCTTTTGGACTTTCAAAGCTCGCATTGATTAATGAAGTTCTAGCTTGATTATTTCATAGATAGAGCTTATCAACAGCCTTTTGAAATGTTATAAGTTTGTATAATCAACCCACTTTAGGTTTGCTTACCATCAATTCACCAGACCTTAACATCAAAACATGCCCTTTAAAAGTGAACAAAGGGCTCAGCTACGTGGCCTAGTGGCTAAAGTCCTCGCCTTGAACGCGCCAGGATCCCATATGGGCATCGGTTCTAATCCCAGCAGCAGCTCCACTTCCCATCCAGCTCCCTGCTTGTGGCCTGGGAAAGCAGTGGAGGACAGCCCAAAGCCTTGGGACCCTGCACCAGCATGGGAGGCCCAGAAGAAGTTCCTGGATCCTGGATTTGGATCGGCATAGCATCGACCATTGCGCTCACTTGGGGAGTGAATCATCGGACAGTAGATCTTCCTCTCTGTCTCTTCTCCTCTCTGTATATCTGACTTTCTAATAAATAAATAAATCTTAAAAAAAATAAAAATAAATAAAAGTGAACAAAGAGCTTGGGCCAGGCACAGTTGCCTGGTGGCTAAAGTCCTCGCTTTGAATGCACTGGGATCCCATATGGGCACCAGTTCTAATCCCGGAATCTCCACTTCCCACCCAGCTCCCTGCTTGCAGTCTGGGAAAGCAGTCGAGGACGGCCCAAAGTTTTGGGACCCTGCACCCTTGTGGGAGGCCTATAAGAGGCTCCTGGCTCCTGGTTTCAGATCAGCTCAGCTCTGGCCATTATGGTCACTTGGGGAGTGAACCATTGGATGGAAGATCTTCCTCTCTGTCTCCTCTTCTCTGTATATTGAAATAAGAAAATAAATAATTCCAATAGAAATAAATAAATCTTAAAAAAAAAAAAAAAAGAAGTGAACATAGCCCCAAACCACTTGTGGAACTGCTGCAGAGCTGCTCTCGTGCCAGCCTACCAGCCAGACACTCCCGTCACACCATGCCCCTGAGCTCCCGTGGCTCGCTCTCCCCAGCTCACTGCTGGGCACTGAGAACCAGGCAGACAAGGGGCAAACTTCCTGAGCAAACGCCATTAACGACCAGCTCTCCCCCATTCCACAGCCTCTGTTTTTATATTACGAATATTCAACACATCGATTAAACTGAAGGGCAAAATGATCCACATCATGGTCTCTATCCAAAAGGCCAAATAAGAGAAACACTTAAGGTGCATGTGGCTATTTTCATAGAGCAAAGAAGTACATGATTCATCTTTGAAATGCTTCCACAAGACAGCAAAATAAAAATTGTACTTCTTACTGGCTTATTCCTTGGCTCTTTAAAACTTGCTTTACTGACATGACTCACTCTCCAAGTTCTCTGGATAGCAGAGGTTTTTCTGTAGCCTCAGGAGCTGTTCATTATCAAGGTTTCAGAAGAATAACACGTTGGAAGGTTAGCATGCGTTACATATGGCAAGACACAACTGGGCCAACATGGTGGCTTAGTATGTCAAGCCTCTGCCTGCTGCAGGAGCCTGGTGCCCCAGGTGGAGCACCAGTTCAAGCTTTGGCTGCTCCACTTCTGATCAGGCTAATAGCTTGGGAAAGCAGTAAAAGACGGCCCAAGGTCCTGTGTAGGAGGACATTGTGACCCTAGAAGGTCAGCGAGCACAGAATTACAGTTGATTGGATAATATTTGCAGGAGAAGAACAGAATGGCTACCTTTTGTATACCTGATTGGATATCATTTGTATAAGAATAGTTGAATGGACAGTATGTGTGTGAGAACACTTGGTGGGATATACAAGACAAAAGGAGTTCCAAACAAAAGCATAGAAGCAGTTGATGGGTTTTGTTGCTAAGCTCAATACCTCCTCTCTTAACCAATATAACCCTCAGTGTACAGTCTGATGCCACTAATAAACTTCGGCTTTGACCATCAGTCAGGTTCCACGCGTGTTATTATCAGCTCCGTGCACCAAATCCATCGCTTCAGGACAGCGACAATCCTGGGCCCCTGCATCTATGTGGGAGACCCGAAACTCCTGGCATTACTTCAGTGCGGCTCCAGCCACTGTGGCCCTTGGAGAGTGAACCAGCAGACAGACCTCTCGTTCTGTCTTTCCTTCTCTGTTACTCTACCTTTCCTTTTTAAGAAAAAAAAATTACATAATACAACTGAAAAAAAATGTAGCAATAACCAATCTATTGGCACTTAAAATTCCAACTAGTGGTTCAAACTATCAGTTTAGGACTTTTTAAAATTATTACTGCAAAGATGTATAGACAAAAGGAAAGAGAGAAAGATCTTCCATCTGCTGGTTGAGGTCCCAAATGCTGCAAGAGCCAGAACTGAGCCCAATCCCGCCCAAGAGCGTCTTGCACGTTTCCCATGTCATCTTTGAGTCAACTTTCACTACAAACCAGGGCCCGGCAGCATGGCCTAGCAGCTATAGTCCTCGCCTTGAATGCGTCGGGATCCCATATGGGCACCAGTTCTAATCCCAGCAGCAGATCCACTTCCCATCCAGCTTCCTGCTTGTGGCCTGGGAAAGCAGTTGAGGATGGCCCAATGCCTTGGGACACTTCACCCGCTTGGGAGACCCAGAAGAAGTTCCTGGTTTCCAGCTTCAGCTCAGCATAGCACCGGCTGTTGCTCTCACTTGGGGAGTGAATCATCGGACAGAAGATCTTCCTCTCTGTCTCTCCTCCTCTCTGTATATCTGACTTTGTAATAAAAATAAGTCAATCTTTAAAAAAAAAAGAAGATACAAACTGGCAGATGGGATGCTGGCGCTTAAAGGCAACGGATTAGCCAAATGAGCCATTGTGCAGAACACAATTATCTATTTTCATATGTGTTATTCCCTGAGCCAAGATAAAAAATAAAAAATCACAAAAGTCAACATAACAGGGCCCAGCGCAATGGCGCAGTGGTTAAGGTCCTCGCCTTGCACGCCCGGGATCCCATATGGTTGCCGGTTCTAATCCCAGCAACCCTGCTTCCCATCCAGCTCCCTGCCTGTGGCCTGGGACAGCAGTTGAGGACAGCCCAAAGCTTTGGGACCCTGCACCCGGAAGAGGCTCCTGGCTTCGGATTGGCTCAGCTCTAGCCGTTGCGGCCACCTGGGGAGTGAACCATTGGACAGAAGCTCTTCCTCTCTGTCTCTCTTCTCTGTATATCCGCCTTTTCAATAAAAATAAAATAAATCTTTAAAAAAAAAGTCAACATAGAAATTACAGGGTGGGAGGGGGTGGTGGTATGTTGGCTCAACTTGTCTAACCCTCCAAGCACCAGCATCCCATATGGGTACCAGTTTATGTCCCAGCTGCTCCACTTCCCTTCTAGCTCCCAGCATGTAGCCTGGGAAAGCAGCAGAGGACAGCCAAAAGTCTTGGGACCCACATGGGAGACCCAGAAGGAGCTCCTGGCTCCTGGCTTTGGATCGGCTCAGTTCCAGTGTTGCAGTGATTTGGGAAGTGAGCCAGCAGATGGAGGATCTTTGCCTCTCTCTCTGTAAATCTGCCTTACCGATGAAAATAAAATAAGCCTGGTTTAAAAAAAAGGAAAGCAAATAGAGAAACGAAATAAAGAAAAAGAAAAAGCTATGGGAGGAGAGTATTAAGGAACAGAGGCATTTTTTTTTTTTTGAGATCTCATCTCCCACTAAAACAAGCAGATTCGTTGAGGATGAAATGCTTGGCAGATCTAGCAAGCAGATGAGCCCGCAGTCCAGATCTCCCAGCTCTGTTCCCACTTCCAGAGGCCCACCTACTCACAAGGCGTGGGACCTTGGGATGATTCCTCCCCCCTGGGGCGTCCCAGGGCCACTACCCTGTTAGCTCAGAAGGCCTGGGGGCAGGCCGCAAGTCCGGGACTCATTCAAACAGAGCCAACCAATCAGAAGACAACACATACGTAGACCTCAGGCCCCATCAGCCCCACTACTTAAGCAGTGGCCTCAGTCCAAGAGAGACTTTCACAGCCCACCTCCTCATGGACCTGTGACCCTCGCCCCAGACTTGACCCTAATAAAACCTGGTTTCATCATCGTTCTGGTCTCGGTGGTCTCGGTAGACCCGCTGTTTTGGTGCGGTTTTGTTCTAACAATTCCCAGCTGCCAGCTGGGCGTTCTTGCTTCAATACACATGTCTTACTCAAAAAGCAACATGTCGAAGATACCCTACCTTTTATCTTTATCTTGAAATGCTTACCGATGCCATCACCCTTCTCTGGGTTTCCTCTCAGCTTTCCGCTGAGCCTGCATTCCCCGACCCTGCCTTTCCAGCTCATCCACCTTCCAAAGTGGCTCCCTCCTTCCCGTGTAAGCATGCGCGCCAACCTTTGCCCTTTTTCCGCCATTCCTTCCTCAGCCTGGAGCACTTGTGCAGGTTACCACAGCACTCCGAATTCTACTCATTCTTCAGGAGCATGACGGCAATGCCCACCTTCCCCCACTTGCCTCACTGGTCAGTCAGTTCCTAAGGAATCCCTGCCGCAGGTCAGTTAAGCATTTACTTAGCCACTTCATCAAGTAGTCACAAGTCAGTTCTTTAAGTTTTTTTTAAGATTTACTTTTTTATTATTATGGGAAAGGAAGCTTTACAGAAAGAAGAGATAAGATATTCCATCCACTGGTTCACTCCCTAAGAGATCACAATCGCAGGATCTGCGCCCATCTGAAGCCAGGAGCCAGGAGCCTCTTCCGGGTCTCCCACAAGGGTGCAGGGCCCCAAGCTCTGGGCCGTCCTCCACTGCTTTCCCAGGCCACAGGCAGGGAGCTGGATGGGAAGTGGGACAGCCAGGACACGAACCAGCACCCTTATGGGATCCCGGCATTCGCAGGGCCCAAGAAAGACTCCATTATTTATTTGCACCTCCTAATGAACATAAAGCCGCTAAGTACGTATATGGGGGTGGGCAATTTAGTGATTGGAACTTTCACCCTTCCAGAGATTCGCTTTGAAAAGGGAAGCCTGAAACAGATCTGAAAAGCAATGACAGAGAGCTGTCAAACTGTCATCCCCTCTCCTTTATGCATCAAAAATCAGGCCAAGACAAAGAGGGCAGGGTTGTCCCCACAACACGGAGCGAAGGAAAAGAACTCTGGTGACCTTTTGAACAGCGGTTCTGTAAAGTTTGCAGAATTGACTTGTGATGTTTATCTGCCCTCTCCTCCCTTCTCCTCCCAGTCTTAAGCACTACCACTAACCACCACGACCACCATCTCAAATTCCGAAATAGCCCCCTAAAGTTAGGAAAAGTGGGAGGGGAAAAAAGATGCGCAGAATTGCCATGCTGCCTCCCCCTGAAAACCCAGCGAATAAACAAGCATATGCAGACCCCAAATCATCCTGACGCTGTCCCTTTCCAGGGAAATTCCAAGGGGATTCTGCAAACGGGACAGCCCCGCCCCCAAGTCAGCCCCCTCCCCCTCCAAAGGACACTTTGCTAAGAAGGGCTGACGGACGGGCCGACTCGTCCTACGCGGCCAAGATGGACTGAGCTACGTCCTGGGCCGCCGCGACCCTCCCACGCAGAGAAGCGGGACTTGCAAAGGCGAGAGGGAGGAGAGGGTCTCCCAGACGGGCCGCAGCCGCGGGGCACCGGCGGGAGGTGTCGGGGCGGCTCCCTCCGGCCGAGGCACCGGGCCCGAGCGTCGGAGCCCGCCGGGACCCGCGGCGGGCGGGCAGCGCCGGGCGGGCAGCGCCGGGCGGCCGGGCGCTCGGGGCGGCAGCCCGGGGCTCGCGGCCAGTCTCCGCCCCCTTCCCTCGCGTCCCCGCCCCGCTCGCCCAGCAGGACGCGGCTGCCCGGTGTGCGGAGCGCGGCCTGCGGCGCGCCGGGGGACTCGGGGTCCCGGAGGCTCCCGGGGTCGCGCACCTGAGCTGTCGCCATCCTCCGAGACTGACGAGCTCTCGGTGTCCTCGTCCTCGGAGCTACTCCCTTCGTTCTCGGCGTAGTCCACCTCCATCTCATCGTGATGGTTCGTCTCCTTCTTATCCCCCCGGGAATGCACCGGCATTTTCAAGCCGCGCCGTCGCTTCCCACTCCCGGCGCCCACCCCGGCCACCGCCGCCTCGAGGAAGGGAGCGCCGAACGCCCGGAGCCACCCGGCGGCCGAGCTCGCTCCGAACCCCCTCGGCTCCTCCCCGCCCCCGGCCCGGGCCTCACAGCCTAACCCGCAGGCTCCGCGCTGGGAGCCCTGCCATTGGCGGAGGCCGGCTCCAGCCTGGGGGCGGGGCTTGCCCTGCTGGGGCGCGGTTGGCTGCCGCTAATGACGGCGCGGACCCCGGTGCTTATCGGGAGTTGTAGTCCCGGAGGCACAGACATGCGATGGGGGAAGCTACCAGCTTCCCAGCTCCGACAGTCCGGATCCTTCCTTCTTTCTGGACTTCAAATCCCACAAGGCACGGACGCTGGCACCTTGGACCGCGACTGATAAACTAACCCAAAACAGATAGTGTGGATTTGAGCTAGATGGGTGCTTTTCCCGCCAAGTGTTTGTCTGAGCACCCTGGCCAGCTAGCGTGTAACGTTCAGTGGTGAAAAGGTTTTTTGCTTGGAAAACTCTTTGCCTTGTTTTTGAAACGTTTGCCATCAAAAAGTGACAAGTTGTATCTTTGCACTTGCAATTTGGTCTTTTTCCAAATTTATTTATTTATTTATTTATTTATTTATTTATTTTACCAAATGCTGTTGGAAAATGCCACCAATTTTGATATCGGCTCTCCAATGAAAAGTATATTCGTGACCTAATGTGATATTATTTATCACAAGCATTGAGTATAAAGGCAAGGAAGACTAAGTATCCAGTCATGACTCAAATTAACTGTGCTTTTTCTGCGTTAGATGTCCTTAGGAAACTCGCTCTATGGCTTCATGGAATTTAGTTCCCAGTTCAGTAGCGCTAAGGCAGGTGCCAATAGCATCTTCCATTTACAGAAAAGGGAATTTCTCTTACAGGCAAAACTTCAAACTGTATTTTATCCATCATAAAGAAAGGGCTTCTTGGGCCCAGCGCTGTAGCCTAGCAGCTAAAGTCCTCGCCTTGAACACGGCAGGATCCCATATGGGCACCGGTTCTTCCCATCCAGCTCCCTGCTTGTGGCCTGGGTAAGCAGTTGAGGACAGCCCAGTGCCTTGGGACCCTGCACCTGCATGTGGAAGACTCAGAAGAGCTCCTGGCTTTGGATCAGCGCAGCACTGGCCATTGGGGAATCATCAGACGGAAGATATTTCTCTCTGTCTCTCCTTCTCTATATATATACATTTGACTTTGCAATAAAAATAAATAAATCTTAAACAAAATGGGGGGGGACTTCTTGCTAAATTGGCAATTTCCTATGGAAAGATATTTCATGCACCATTTTTTTTAAAAGATTTATTTATTTATTGGAAAGTCAGATATACAGAAAGGAGAAGAGACAGAGAGGAAGATCTTCCGTCCGATGATTCATTCCCCAAGTGAGTGCAACACCCGGTGCTATGCCAATCTGAACCAGGACCCAGGAACTTCTTCTGTTTATCCCCACATGGTACAGGGTCCCAAGGCATTGGGCCATCCTCGACTGCTTTCCCAGGGCACAAGCAGGGAGCTAGATGGGAAGTGGAGCTTCCAGGACTAGAACCGGTGCACATATGGGATCCCGGTGCGTTCAAGGCGAGGACTTTAGCCGCTAGGCCACACTGCCAGGCCCACACCTTTTTTTTTTTTTAATTGTATTTATTCTATTTGAGAAGGAAAGGGTTGGGGTAGAGAGGAATTTCCCATTAGGTGGTTCACTCTACAAATGCATGTGACAGTGTGACAGCCGAGGCAGGGCTAGGCTAAGCCAGGAACCAAGAACTCAACTGAGCAGGATCCCAGCTGCCTCCCAAGGTGCACACCGACAGAAAGGTGGGACCAGAACCCAGGGTCTCCAATGCAGGAGGCAGGCATGCAGCACAGCCACTCAGGCACTAGTCTGACTGCCGGCTGCCAAAGCAAGATGCAGAGACGTCAGACGGAGGACAGGAAGGGTGTCCACAGAGCACCATTCAATTCACATTTTTTTTTTATTGGAAAGGCAGATATACAGAGAGGAGAGACGGAGAGGAAGATCTTCCATCTCATGGTTCACTCCCCAAACTTCCACAATGACTGGAGCTGAACCAATCTGAAACCAGGAGCCAGGAGTTCTTCCAGGTCTCCCACACAGCTGCAGGGTCCCAAGGATTTGGGCTGTCCTCGACTGCCTTCCCAGGCCACAAGCAGGGAGCTGGATTGGAAGTGGGGTCACTGGGATTAGAACCGGCACCCAAATGGGATTCCAATATGTTCAAGGTGAGGACTTTAGCTGCTAGGCTATCGCACCTTGACTCGCAAATTAGTGACAGAGCAAGCCAAATGAGGGACTGTGTGTAGGGATTCCTTATGTTCAGTTGCTCAACGCCCAAGCTGCTTCCCACTTGTACCCATTTTATCTCCTCTGCCTCCCTCCCCTCCTCTCCTTTTCTTGTTTAAAGTCAACTTTTTTTGCAATACCCACCATCACCACCATTCATTAGTGGGTTCCTTTAGGCTGCTATTGTACGTGGGTTTTTTGTTTTGTTTTTTCCAGCATTGTCCTTATTCATATCCCAGGTATGGAAGGTGGCTTAGTAAAGCCTCTCACCTATTGGGTGATGAGGGCCTGTGTGCAAATTCAAAGGGAAATGGTCGAGGTAGGAAGCCTAAGCCACTGGACTCCAGGGGCCGCTGCCTTTTAGCTGCCTTTTTCTGTACTCAAGATCTGAAATCTTGGCCGCTCACAAGATCTTATACCTTCCTATTTTTCAAGCAACACGTGGGAAATAGCATGATTTTAAAACATTATCTCAAGTGAACTTTTTGTTTCATTTTGGTTTTGTTACTTAGACTGCAGATTAAACAAAAACAGCTGTGGGTCAAATTCCTGGCCTCTGGTCATCTTTGATGTGTTCCACAGCTTGCCGAGTGCCTTCTAAAAGTAACAATGGCTTAGATGGGCTGGTTGTTCTTTCTGTAAGCACAATTAAGTGCTTAAAAAAATAACAATAAACATTTAATTCCACTGTCCATTAATTTTGGAACGTTTGCTTATTTTAGCTGAGTGAGAAGGAGCTTCTATTCACTAGGTCACTCCAGGGAGAGAGAGACATGGGGAGGCAGGGAGAGACATTCGCTTGGAAAGCCCAGGAGCCAGGGCATCAGTCCAGGTCACAGTGATGGATGCCACGGACCTGGTGGCTTGAACCCAGGTTCTGCATTCGCAGGGATCCGAAGCAAAAGCAGAACTCCCACCCGGACACTTCAAGCCTCCAGTGCATGGATTCTCTCTATACATAGATTTTTTCCCCTACTTTCTATTATTCTGCCTTTCAAATTCATCAATAACTCTTTTTTTTAAGTGTGGAGGAAAAGTAAAAGAGACCCATTGGGGAGAAGTTAATAAAGCTAGAAAAAAATCTTTATTTTATTTTATTTTAACTTCTTTTTAAATTACTATCATCATTCTATGATAGAGTTCCATAGGCCTTGGGATTTCCCCTGCCCTGAGTCCCCTCCCCCCACCAAATTCCCCTATATTATTACTATAGCATAGCTCTGCATTAGCAGTCACATGTTCATCATTGCGGGCATATATTTTGATGGAGAAAAGAAAAATATGCAGAAAATGATGAGGTTTCCTCAGTCAAGAGCATTAAAGGTATAATAAGATGCCTTCCATTTATGGAGAATTAAAAAAAGATTTTTTTGGAGGCAGAAAGAATTTCCATCTGCTGGTTCACACCCCCGATGCTTGATACGGCCTGTGTTAGTGTCAGGCCGAAGCTGGGAGCCTGGAGCTCCGTCCACATCTTTCACCCGGGGGGCAGAGATCCAGAGCTTGAGCATCCCTGCTGCCCACCCCCACCCCAATGGGCCACAGCAGCAGGAGAGACAGTCCACACCCAAGCAGGGCACGGATGCTACATACCCCAGCGTGGGATGCAGACACCTTAGCCACACGGCCAAGCACCTGTCCCACATGTCACATTTTACATTTTACCTAGCTGGGATCTAAGTCTCCCTGGTTTCCAGATCCATTCACGTTTGCAATTTAATGGAGAATGCACTAGAACTTATTCGTCATCAGCAAAATGTATATTGTTTCTGTTTCTGACCCTTCCATTTCTTTTTTTTTTTTAAGTTTTATTTTATTTTTTATTGTAAAGTCAGATATACAGAAAGGAGGAGAGACAAATAGGAAGATCTTCCATCTGATGATTCACTCCCCAAGTGAGCTCAATGGCAAGAGCTGAGTCAATCTGAAGCCAGGAGCCCAGATCCACTTCCAGGTCTCCTACATGGGTGCAGGGTCCCAAGGATCTGGGCCATCCTTGACTGCGTTCCCAGATCACAGGTAGGGAGCTGGATGGAAAGTGGAGCTGCTGGGATTAGAACCGGCGCCAGATGGGATCCCAGTGCATTCAAAGCGAGGACTTTAGCTATAGGCCACACCTCCAGGCCCGACCCTTCAATTTCCTTCAGATTCTAAAGGAAGTATGCTTTTCTCTTAGCATCCTGATTCTTTTGTGCTCAGGAGCCAAGTGCCAGGAACTTCCCCCAGGTCTCCAACAAGGGTGCAGGGTCCCAAGGCTTTGGGCCATCTTCGACTGCTTTCCCAGGCCACAAGCTAGAAGGGATATGGAGCAGCTGGGGTACAAACTGGCACCCATATGAGATTCTGCTACATGCAAGGCAAGGACTTAAGCCATTCGGCTACTGTGCCAGGTTTTGTTGCTGTTGCTACTGCTATGTAAGGTTTATTTGTTTATTTGAAAATCAGAATTACAGAGTTACAGGAAGGATGGAGAACAATTGGTCTTAAACCTACTGGTTCTTTCCCTAGATGGACACAAAGGCCGAAATTGGGCCAGGTTGGAGCCAGAAGCTAAGACCTTCACTCAGGTTCCCCACATGGCTGGCTGGGCCCCAACTCTTGGGCCATCTTCCACTGCTTTTCCAGATTCATTAGCATGGAGCTGTAAAAAAAAAAAAAAATGGAGTAGCCTGGACGTGAACAGGTGCCCACATGGGATGCTGGCATTAAAGGCAGCAGCTCTACAAGCTATGCCACAGGGCCAGCTCCAACTCTTTGTCATTTTAATAAAGGATCCC